TCACATCTCGTGGGAACACCGCGTGAAGAATGAGCGTGTTCGTCACCTTTTTTGTCGCATAGGAAAAGGAAATGAACCGTTCAGCACCGTTATTTCACACCAGGTTCCGATGGCACGGCCACATGTTGCGCATGCTAGCCCATCAACTCCCGCGACGTGCATTGTTTACGCGCCGGGGTTGTGGATAGAAGAAGAAGTGCGGTGGCCAAGCGATAGCTTGGTTGAGAGCAATGAAGGCCCTTACTTCCACATTGGCCTCGGTTGGAGCCCCTCGGATCTCCTTGGTTGAAGTCCGACAGACCATGAACATTTTGGCTGGAAACACTTGCTGATATGGCTAAGAGCCGACCTCAATGACATTCGTGTTGTGAATTTCCCTGTCCCTCCCCATGCTTCTTAACCCCCTGTCCAATCGCGACCTCATTTCTAAGTATAATACCACTTTTGCTCAGTAAATTTTTTCGCTGCATATTAGCTGGCTGTTTGCTTTCCGGATTGAATGGTAGCTCAGCTGGTACGCATCTGTTGTAGATTTTTTTCTTTTCTTATGTATTGCGGCACGGCAGCTGAAGTTTTTTTCTCTTCTAGCTAACGTCTATAATGATGATGATGATGACGATGACGACGATGATGATGATGATGATGATGACGACGACGACGATGATGGATGATGATGAACGGCTGTAATACCGAGCCTTACGGCACGCCACTAAGCACGGCTTGTCTAATCTAAAGCTTACGCCCCAGGCGTACACTGTTCTCTTGCCACTAGGAAAGCAGACACCCATTTAAGGGCGCCGCCAGATATCCCATAAGATCCGAACTATACTGAGAGTCGTAAATGTGGGACAGTATCAAACGTTTTCGGGAAGTCAACGAAAAGCATGTTAATTGCGTGGTCGCTATCTACTGTCTCAGCCCAGCTTTCACGAACTACAAGTAAATTTGTCAGATACGAAAATTCCTTACGGAAACCGTGTTTTGCGGCACTGGGAAAGTTAGATTTATTCCTTTGGTTCTCCACTGAATCCCGCATTGGTTTTAAAAGCAACTTGACTACTATTCTTGTCAAACTAACAGGCCGGTGGTTCGCGGACAGAGCACTGTCACCACCCTTAAAACTCGGACAGCTCATTGCTTTCTTCCATTCCGAAGCTAAGGCACAGCCGTGAAGCGATATTGTAAACACACTTGCAAGAAGATCACTTAGTTCAGCTACCATTTCATGCATCAGCTTCGACTGAATTGAATCAGGATCAGAAGCTTTGGAAGGATTTGGTCTTTGCAATAGCGCGAAGGATTGTCTCCACTATGCTAATTTCAGCTGGTAAGAATCCTCCGAGACTCTTGTGACCAGTTCAACCTGTGGTAGAGAGGTCTCACGAGCAAAAACACTAGTATGCTGTTCGCTTAGTATACGCGCCTTGTCATTGTCAGTATGCACACAGGTCCCGTAGCAATGCTGGTATAGACGACTTTGTACCACTGCTCCTCCTTACATAAACAACGAACTTTGGATTTGTTGCAATTGCGTCATCTTAACCCTTTTCTTACTTAAGACGAGCATTCCTGAGATGTTGGTTACATTTATTCCTAACCTCTCGATAGCTTGCGTAGTTGCTGTTTGATGAAGTCGCTCGGTAAGTTCGCCAGCGTTTAGACCGCTTCCTGAGCAGGTGTTTACCCGTCTAAGCTATTCATAGAAGCTGTCCCCGTGTCTCCCTATTATATAATGAGCGGTATTCGGGGAGCAGAAATCTCGGAGAGATATGCCTTAAATTTCTCCCGGGTTGATTCAAGTGTCGGCCATGGAGGTCACACAACGCAAAACTGAAGCTTTGGCTCGCATTGCGTTAAAGTCCGCCCGCCAAATACTTGGGCATACCTCAGCGGTGACCTGATGATACTTAAAGAGGGCACGTCGAAAAAATATGCAGACATGGGCACTGGCACTCTAGAGGGCAGCCGTATGTAATCTCACTCGCGAAATCATGTGACACCACAAACTGGAAGCTGATTACTCATCTATCTAGTCTGGTGTTCCACGGTTTAGGCTGCACTGCAGCCGAACCACGTAGTGGTTCTGCAATTTTCTTGGCACACGCTCTTAAAACATAATCGTCTTATTCAGGTCGGTCTTATAATTTTAGGCGGTTCATGTAGTTGAGCATGGTTCAAGTTCAGTTGGGACCGGAACGACGGGAAAATCCCTTGGGTGTTCCTTCTTGAGCGGATCGTTGAGTCACGTAATGATAAGGTGCTCCGAGGTCTTGATGTATCTAAAACGACGCACCCGAACCACATCCTGGTCAACCACATACTACCAACGTTTCCTGAACTAGTAGTCGCCGTTGTGTCGGTCACCTGAAGTAAGAAACATATAGGAAGAAAATGGAGGGTAACGACGATGGAAGATGCTTTAAATGAAGAAAAATACCGATGAGTGATCGAGCTTCTACAATGCCGCACGTTCTTTTGTTGAGCTAAGCTTTGAAGGCAGCGATGATCGAACGTAACTAGCCTCTTTATGGGTCAATCTCCACCACCTATGAAGCCGACACGACATCATTATAGCAGTGAAAGGCAGAATTTCTGGTTCAGCCGTCCGTTCAACCCTTTTATACGGGTGTGAAACCTAGCCCATCAGGTCGACAGACACCGCGTCAGCAACGAACGTGTTCGGCGTCGCGTATTCGGTGCAGGAAGAGCGAGTGAACCGCTCAGCACCATATATAACGCACCAGGCTCCGATGGCTGGGCCACGTGTTGCGCATGCCAGCACACCGCGTCGTGCGTTGTTTGCGCGCGGAGGTTGTGGATGAAAGATGAAGAGGGGAGGTCAAGCGATGACTTGGTGGAGCAAAATGAAAATCCCCACTTCGAAGTGGGTGTTGGTTGATGCATCCCGACAGCCTGGCTGAGGTCTGAAAGGCGATGAACACGTTTGGTTGGATACACTAGTTGACCTGGCAAGCGGCGTTTGTGTTGTGAGTTTTCCCTTCCGCGTAGGGGCGGGCGTGCTCGCGGCATACTCAGCCCACGTGCTGCCGGTTATGGTTGCGTGGCAGCGAAGCGTCGATACGGTGTGCCGTCGTTCTCTTGATGACTTTCTTTCCCTCCCACTGCATCCACGATCTCCCTCTTGACGCAGGACATATTCCTAAGTAGTCTGTCACCAGTTTCTCTGCATTCTATACTCTTCAGTATCTTGCTTTTTCTTGTCTTATCTTTATGCATTGCGACACAATAGTTGGAGCGTGTTTCTCACCTTCAGCTAATGTGTAATAATGATGATAACCAGTGATCTTCAGCTGTGTTCATTGGGTGTTTATTCAGCCCGGATGCCTGCGTACTTTGTTACGCATTCAGAACATCTGCTTCGCCATTTGGCCAGTGTCTGCGCTCATAGCGTTGTTGCAGAGGTCTGCAAAAATGCACTTGCAGATCGGCACACACAAGGGTGGTGGGAGTCCATGCTCGTGCTCCAAATTGAACAACAGTTCTGGACACCACCTCTCCAGCCTTAAATGTTAGTGCTCGCGAGAAATAGACGAGCATCTTCACACAGGTGTATCAACCGCTCACCATCCTACATCCTGTCGGCCGCCCAGATGTGGTGATCATCAGTGGACAGTTTTCCAACTTGAGTGTTCAGATCACCAACCAGCACCGGTATCCTTACTTTTTTGTAACGAAGGAACGCGTTTACTTGATGATTATAGTCGTCTTTTACCGAGTCAGTACTACAATTTGTGGGCGTGTAGGCCGCAATGTGAAACAGGCACCGTTTGTCCCCGCTGAGCTCCGAAGCTTTGAACGAGCCAGCCAATATGACCGCATGTATCCGGCTGTTCATTTGGATTCAATCGATCAGGGTGGTTTCCGCCCGGATTGCTCAGATCAATACCCACACCCGTCTGACTGGTATTTAAAGCTGCGTCATCTCTGGAGTAGTGCGATGCGAAAATTCCGTTAGTATCACACCTTGGGCATCGCAGGGTAAGTACAGAGCTCTAATCTTACAGTCGGATTTCCGATAAACAACCGATATCGATCGGTAGAGTCTCTAGTGTCCAGGAAAGTGCTGTCTATTGACCAATGCGTGACAAAGTGTACACCTAGGGGCATGTCACTCTTAGCGAGGATCGAAGGTTCCAAATAGAAACGGATGAACTGACATTGTTTGCTTGCTTGAACGTGGACTTGTCGCCTGGATCGGAGCGACCCTTGTGTTTGCTTGTGTTGAAATTGGAAGACAGTTGACTATCGAAGCAAAACCGAGAAAGGCCAAGAAGTTGAAGGTTGAAAACTTGGGGTAAAAGTAAAGTTAGAACGAGACGATAGGATGGAAAGGGACGAGAGAAGTAGTAAGTAGACGGGAAAGTATGAGCAGCAGCATGGTCAACTCTATCCGCTCTGCTCGATGTAGCATCAAGAAATCGTTAGATGAGAAACTCGTTATATTGCGTGGGTAAGGTACTGTCAGCTTACCCAGCCTAAACAGGAGAAAGTGTAAGGTGCTCAACAGAAATGTTTGGTTCAAAAGCCTTATAGCAAGGCAGTGCAGTTGTGGCAGTGGGCTACAGAGTGTCTGTTATATGGAGTATGGGGCCATCCTCACTCCAATCCCTAACATGTAGGGCCAGGAGACTGGGTTACTCTGGCCTCTAACCACTGACCATGGTTGGCTCTGAGGGTGCAAGGGCACTGTCCGGCATAGATCAATAGATCATTGGGGCACACAAACCATCGCGCCACGTCAAGGTCCACTCTGGTCGTGTATCCCGATTGCATTCTTTCTTTTCCACTCTACCGCTGGGCTTTTCATCGAAGGTACTGGATCAGGGGATTGATATACACATTGGGACGTTTTCCTGGTCCATTTTATGTCGACGGTTTGAGCTTTTTGGAATTGTTGCTCATTGTTTATTCATACATCATTTGTTTCCTTATTTTCCTCAAAGGTAATTTGATCGTTAGTGATAGCCTTTATTTTTCAGCTCTGGATAAGATCACGCTACAGCGGAACGATGAAACCCACCGTTTCTGCTGACTCAGCCGCTGACCACAAAGCCACAGGAAGCGAGGATCCTGGGAGAAACGCTTTAGAGATTGAATTAAAGCAAGTAGGTATTCTTTTCATGGTGGCCCATATTATCTTTCACATGGTTGTAAGATATACATAAACGGATAATAGTCTTCTTTCCGTTATTGTCCTTGAGGTCTGGTTAATTCGGCGCGGATGCGCCTGCTTAGCACCACAAAACTATTCGGATTCTTCCTCGGTTTTTCTGTCTTTAGTTTATTCTCCTTACCACAATTAAGTAATCTGTTTCCGTCTTACTGCGGCATTACTTTTCCTTTCTTTGCTTTCATCAAAGTGGAGCCGACCGTTGAACTTTATCTGCGCATTCTGACATATCAAGTGACTTTTCATTGCTTTTCTGGGGCTAACAACCGCTATTCATTGCGGACTACACATGGATCGTATCTAACTTAGCCTTTCCTATTCGTTTCATCACTCCTTGCTTCCTCTAGTTTCCCGTATCATGAAACCCTTGCATTCAGAATCTAAATGCTTTAGGGGATCGCCAGTAGATATGCCAGTCACAATTTCGCTCAGATCTGCTTCAGATTTCCTCCACAGCTAATCTCAGTATCTTTGTTAGCGGCTTCTCCGGTACCGTGATCGTCATCGAAGTTATTCAGCTGCTGGCACTGAGTCGGTCGCGGAACTAATAGCAGTTTTTGCGGCGCGCATCGTTTCGCACTAAACCATACACCTTGGCCACGTAAAGTTCTCTGGGAACATTTGGGATCCGTGGTGCACTACTGATACTCTGTAATCTTAGCTGTCTGTACAGACTGCTTACGATGTCGTTGCAGAACACTGAGTGATTTTCTGCATCGTTCTGTCACACCGGCTTGTCTCATCTCCAGGCATTAATCATTTTCTGCACATTGATTGTGGGTGTGCATTCCATGAAGACGAGTATCGTGCAGTTTCATGTGGCTAGAGGTTTATACTATAGGCCAGATGCACAGAACTCGTCTTATTTCGAATCGTCATGTCATTTATTTGCTCCACTCAGTGGTTGCGTTTGAAGGTCGAGTTTTATTAATGTAACGCAAGCGGGAAACCACACTGGCCAGTCTCTTTCACTTGATTTTGAGACCATTATGGATCTCTGGGTGTTTCCGGTCGGAAGAGTTTATGGTAACGGAGCGGACTGGAAATTTAAAATGACCAAGGGAGTTGTTGCATAACAAAAGCTTATTTGTTAGCAATGGAGCTTGTCAAACCTAGCCGTTACTGATCCGACACAGGCAATCCTGAAGATACACACCCTCATTCACAATAAAATACGTTATCTGGTTGGCTTGGAATCAATTTTCGTCAGCAATTTACCCTGCCTTCTGCTTTTCAACCACTGCGTTCGTGCATGATGGTTGAACCATGAGCGGTTCACCTGAAGACCCCAACTAAACGTGGGGCTGGGAGTTCGATCTCATGCGGTAATTATTTCCTCACTTTTATGTATTAGCTAACAGAATCGTTACAGGTGTACTTATTTGGACACCTGTTGCTCATACATATTCATTACTTACTCAGAGTGTTCAGTTCTCTAAGCCAATTATTTGATGGCTTCACAGGTCTTTCTGATTTCTTTGCGTGGACTTCTCGCGGTGAACCATGTACTCGATTCCGCATGTTTACAGGGCACGACATGCGTCCGAGGCAGTTGGCGTACCCACTGTCATTTCGGGCCCCATTCGCTTGTTATAGTGGGGGCCTATTGTCCTGAGTTTTATATGAAGTGTGTTTGATTATGAAACAGGGTAGTAAATCCTGTCGGGATACTAACTTTTCCATAGTAATTTATCCTGACGATTTGCAAACGTTTGCGAATCTACGGCTTTGGTAGGATGCGGGTGCATAAAATGGATTGCATAATTAACGGGTCAGTTCCCACATTCGATTTTCTGCGCCCCTGTTCCACTTATTTTCGGTGGCATCTTATCGCTGTATGGCAGTGAGATACTGGTCCAAAATACCGATGTATTGCTGTCATTGATACTCATGACACCATGTCCACCTCCTAAAAGGAGGTCGTTGATTGACGCATATACCGTGGGGTGTAATCATACAATCTGCACTCTCGTCGGGTTTTATCGAATACCTCAATGGACAAGTCAGCTGACCAACCGTGTCACTGTGGTTGACTTGGTTTTTGCTCGTCTGACGTTATGAAATCACTATTATCCATATCAGTGATATTCCATATGTACTGATACTGCTGAGCTGAAACGATATGCGGAATAAAAGCGACTACCGTCTAGTGTTTGGAATAGCACCTCTCTTCAGCGTTCTACGGTTCACGAATTTGAAACCTATAAGATGGCGTTTATCGACCATCGTCAGCTGTTTGAATAATGGCCCTTCATCAGCATTTAAAGCTCTTTTAGATGTTATCCTCCTCACGTCCACCTCCAAATTGCCCACGCTTCGCTTCTCCGAAAGACTGCCCGGCCTCCTGTTCATTTAGGTCAAGTTAAGTCGAATAAGGTTTTCAGCATTTATACTGCACCTGTGGATGTGTCGGAGGATTTTATCAATAGAAAGTACATAAACATGAAAGCATATACCCCACTGTCATTCCAACAGCCGCTCACGTAGCATGTTTATGACTTTCGTTGAGTAAACGAGCAAACGTGATAAATAAGTTTAGCTAGAATTACGATATTCTGAAGTGCAGGGGAATAAAGTTTTAAATTTCAGCCACGTTTTTAAAATATACGTTGAATACAGGCGGAAAACACCTTAACTATTATACCACAGTACAAAAGAAAAGAAAGTAACATGCAACAGAGCACGCCGGTTGAGTCACCGGTAACAGATGGACACCGTTCCCGAGCGCTAACAGTCAGCTGTTGTGCCGCAGAAATGTTATATTATGCCTACTAATTGAGATCCTGCTTGGAGGGGAAGGCTAAGCGGGAGGAAGAAGGACACAGAAACTCACAATACAAACGCCATTAAGGTCGGCTCCTTGCCAAGTCATCAAGTGTATCCAGCCAAACGTGTTCATTGTTCTTCTGTCTCCAACCAGGGAGCCGAGAGGCTCCAACCGAGGCCAACTTCGAAGTAAGGGCCTTCATTCCCCTTGACCAAGTCACAGCTTGGCCACCCCTCCTCTTCTTCCATCCGCACCCCCGGTGCACAAACAACGCACCTCGCGGGAGTCAGTGGGCCGCCATGCGCAACATGTGGTCGAGTCATCGGAGCCTAGTGCGTGAAATAACGATGCTGTGCGATTCACTTCTTCCGGCACTATAAACAATGCGTCGACCACGCTCATTGTTCACACGGTGTTCCCACCAGATATGAGGCAAACTGCGAAGGCACCGGTGGTCGAACGTAACGCGCAGAAGAGAACAAGCACGTTTTTGAAAGGTCATTGTGCAACAGATGAAATCGGTCATCTAGGACCTTGGAAAAATCTTATTGCAAGCATCAAAAGGTCTGCAAATAATCAAATCAACGATAGAATCTATAGGCAAGACGTCAGATTTAGCAATGTGCTTATCTACTGTACGCTGAAATTTGTTTTTCGGCACATCACCGCATGCACTGACAATTTCCCCTAGTAACCTTCCATCCTTGGTTCACTCAGTCCCGTTTGTTTTCCACACCTAGTTCTGTGGCGTTCTATTGGATTCCAAATCACTTATGAATTTCTTGTACTGCTTCTCAGAATATCGTTCGCAGGTTTACGAGAAGATTCCTGATTTGATCGCAATATTTAATGCTCCTCAAGTCTGCCGTATTCCTTGTTTCTTTTGTTCCGTTTTAAGCGGAACTTTCAGTTTGAAATCACTTCGCCAGATTAGGATATTCGGGGTCCATCACATCGAGACTGGACTTGGACGTTGTGGGATAGTTTTCGTACCTCCGTAACCCACTGAATTACCCTGGATAGCGCATCCCAAGTGCCTTCAGAGCCACTCATCTCAGCTGATTCCATGGTTAAGAGTCATTAACTCGGCCTCACAATCCTCCTTGGAGTTTATGCAGAAGCCAATGCCCCAATTCCCTTAAAACCTAGCCATGGGGGACAAAAAGTAGTGAGTTATGAGCTCACAGCTCCATTGGCGTAGAGCACGAGCACCATGCATTGTTTTTGATAATGAGAGTGCACCGCCCGATAGTGGTTTGCTATCGTCCGCCTCAAGACAGGCAGCCGTTGGTCAAATTGATGCAAACCTCCCAATTCCCACCTGCGGATGGCCGTGATCACATGTGCGTAAAAAACTCCAGTTGCAAATCACATACGAATTATTCCAAATCTTCAAAGGCTTTGTGTGACAGGCATTAAACAGATCCTAACTGGTCTCTGCAATCACACGCCCGAGTTGGGCTGGCTCCCCGCTGCCTTTTGGGTCGGACTATTGGGCCAAAAGCTCCGGATGGTGTCCCTCAAGCGAAACCCCATGTCCCTCACTGCTCTTTGGGTCAGACTATTGAATCAAAGGCTAGAGATAGAGCACCTTGAACAAAACCCCTTTCTTGAACTGGGCACCCGGAAGCGGGTCTGCGCTCCCGACACCTTCGACAACACTTCTTTTTCTAACCCCTGTCAACTCTCTTACCCCTCGTCTGTTGGGCAAGAGACTGTCGCTGACAGAGCAGCTGCTTCCATCGATACATGTAGCTCGTCCATCCAACCAAGAGTCTCATTTCACATTAGTCTTACTCATGTCCGCACCTCATCTGAGATCAGACAACAGGCGACATTAACCCTAACTTGGTAAGCATGTCTTGCCTCCGAGACACGCATACAGGGTAACAGCGTCGACTCCCTGGTTCCGAATCTGTTGACAACGTCTCTGGCTCAAAATGTTTGTGGTTTTAGTACCACCATCAGCAAACTGGACACCATTAAACAGCTACATGTATGCGGTTCGGCTTCTGAGCTCTATTTTGATTAATTAGCACCGTCTAAAGACAAGGTGTGGTTTCATCGCCTCCGTTAATGCCACTGTTAGCTGCAATTCGGAGGTTATGAAAGACGAGTTCTATCGTCATCCCTCATCTCTACTTCGGCTGGTGAAGAATACTTACATA